AAGTGTGGGAACTCTCTCATTTCAGCAACCATACTTTAACCACAAATCTCTGAACCATACAAGCAGACATATTAGGACGACACACCCTTACCAGAACCCCCACTGACTGCTGTTCAAATCGGCTCCATACTCTATATCTCATACCTGCAAAAGTCAAACCTTCCAGACAGAAACTCCTTATATTCATTTAAGATCAGTGCGAGCTTCTTGTCATAGGCATTATTCAGGGGAAACGGGCTAGGTATGAGACAGGCTTTTTCAGTGTTTAAAGTGGAGTTAACAAGTGTTTAGGGTTTACCATGTCTTTGTAAAGGATGCAGGATATCACACAAAATTGCCAGAGAGGATGGATCCATTGATCTCCACAACCCTCACTCATTTTCTCTGCAGAGCAATCGTCATGGAACACTGCCTCCTCTGCTCCGTATAGGTTTGCTCTCTTCCTTTCAGATCACCCCTTCCACACACTGTTCCGTCTCCACTTCAGTTCTTCACTTCTCTGAACTACCAAGGGCAATGTTTCGGCTCTTCTCCTTCTCATCATTTCTTAGAACTCTTGGAACATAAATAATACTGATTTTTTTTTTTTTTTTTTTTTTTTTTGACTAATGAAATGATGAGTTCTGATGATGATGATGGTGAGAAGGAGGTAATTACATATGTTGTGCCCCTGGTGGTTCTGACTTAAACACTTCTTTCACCATTTGATCTTTTATGCTCGGATCATCCTACTGATTGCTCTCTTCTTTTCAGATCACCTCTACTGATTGCTCTCTAGCGTAGTCTGTGAGAAAAAAAACGAGTGGGAGCAGTGTTGATCCTTTCCTCTCCAGCCCTTTTGCACATATCTGCACATATGAAACCTAAAAACAGAATGCATGAGGGTGAAACAAAGGTTTTAAGGTTCATGGTGGGAACTAGCTAAAGATGAGCTAGCCACTCAGGATCAACAAGATGGGTAGAAAGAATTAAGATGTCCTGAGTGTAATCTCGTTTCCCTAATCTAACGCCCATAACAAGAAGAATTAAGTCAATATTAGGTTCAAGTTAGGTGGAGTTTAAG